TTATGTGCCGGACGAATACCATCACTTTGATTGCTGTTGGGACTCTTAGAATACAGAGAACAAAACTATTTAGCTTAGATAAGGAACAGCATGTTGCGCAATTAATTTCCTGTTGTTTTATGCTAGTTGTTAGATCTTGGTAAGGACTGAAAAAGCAGAAGCAACTCATGTATTTTGTCCTAATTCAGCCTTTGTTAAATATCTAAATCTAATTGTATTCATGAATTAAGCTCACAGATTCTATTCTTCTCTCCCCAGATTAGAGGAACATTAATTTCTGAGATATTATGCTTCTGTTTAATGTAACTAGTTAATTTTAATGCATCATCCCCTACTTATTACATATTAACGTTGTATAATATCTATTTCAATCTCTCATTTTCTGTGTCCCTTTGTTTACCTCATTTCTAAGTAAAAACAGTCTCCCCTGAAAAAGTATGAATAAAGTAATTCTTTTATTTGTAAAGAAATTTATGGGGGCTGAACTAAGAACTCTTCAGGAAATTGATCTGAAGTTGCTATTCTTCAATTATACGTGCAGGTGCAAGTCCTCCCTTCAGCTGTGATCCATACAGTAATAAACCTGATTTTGACTCTTGCACTCTTGAGGGGCCGTAAAGAGGAGCTGCAGCTATTTCAGGTAGTTGTATGTCCCAAGAGGAACAGAATAGGATGTAACTGACATCAGAAGATTCCTCTTCTTGACAAGTGTGGACAGTATAGAAGGGATTGAATGATCTCTTCCTGAAGGATGGTATTAATATTACTCTTTGGGGTGGTCTCCTTACAGATCTTTGAGGGCCATTGCCACAGGTAGCGTGCATACCTTGTGCAGGACATCCACTCTTCTCTAATGCTGTGGTGCAAGTAGATGCTAATGAGCTCTAAATTAATATGTTTTTAATAGGCTGTAAAACTTAGGAGAATGCAGACTTCTTGCCAGCTAACATTGCATCTGCCTTTAACTATTAAAATGCTGCATGCCTGTCTCAACCATGTACAAATTCAGAGTGTAAGAATTTCAAGTAGTCAACTTTGTAATACTGAGCTACAGCTGTTTTCTGAGGTTTTATGGGCTTTTGTCAGTTCTAAATACCAGGAGGATCCAGCTGTGCAAGAACCATTTTGTAGAATATTCCCCAGACTAAGTTAATTCTGGATTTCATCTGTGATCAAACCCAAAATGTGTAGTGTAACAGCTTGCATGCTTATACGTGATGTGTAGAATTGTATTCTCAGACTGAATTTGCTCATATCAGCCCAAGCATGAGGAGTACATGGCTCTCTGGAGATGCTGAATTTTGCATTAATTGTCTACACTAAAGCATCTCTGGAAGAATTTGTTGTGCAGTGAAACCTGCAGCTATATAGGATCATTTCTACTGAAAGTTTACTTGAAAGTTTAGTACAGGCAAAGAGGCAATCAGAAAGAAAACAAAAGAAAAAAAGTAGTGTTGTATATAAAGCTGTACAAAAATACAAGCCTAAAATAACGGTGAAAAAATAATTCATAAGAAGTTCCAGAATATTAGAAAGGGTCTTCAGTGAAAACTTGCAGCTTTCCCACTTAATAAGTGAGCAAAAGCGGCGGTGTTTACAGTATACGATGGTTCAACAGGAACCTGAACTACTCATACGAGTAACTGCTTACCAGTGGGTGTAGCAAATTTTCAGTCTGGCCTTAGAGCCCTAGGGACTTGGTAACTGTCTGTTTTATTCTTTTGGTATCTTTTCAACCACTTATTTAAAATACACTAGGTTAGCTTCCTTGCTTTTACAAAAGCACATTTCTATGCATTCAGTCCAGAGAAGGAAGCTTAAGCTGACAATTTTATCTATTTTTTTTTTCCACAGTATTAAAAAGATTGGTTATGCTTTAAGGAGAACTGTCAGGAGGTTTTCCATCTGATGAACAATGTTCTGGAAAGAAATATCTTATTTTATTCTTGTAAAATCTGAATGAAGACTTTAAAAGTTCATGCTTTTCAAAGTCATATTCTCTCTTCAGGGATGAAATAAAGGAGTAAAGGCCTCCCAAGCAGTGAGCTGCACCAGCTGAGTCTGCTACAGCTGTCTCTGTAGCCTGCTTGTTCATGTTGTTGATTTAAAGTAACAGGGAAGTTTGAGATATATTTTCAGACATAGCAAGCCAAAAAATTATATATACATTCTTCTGGGCTTTAATCTTTATATAATATTCTTCTGAAGGAGACTTCAAAAATTATATCTTCATTCCATAAATGCATTTTGTATTTGAAAAAAATTTTTTAGGGAGGATTTGCTTTTCTCTGCATTAGTCTCTAGCTTACAGATGTCTACACAAAAATGCACAGCGATAACTTACTGATCATGGGAGAATGCAGTCCAGCAGTCTTAACAAATGAAATCTGCCCATAAGTCCTGTGTAGTGAAAAGTTCTGCTGAAGACTGATAGATATTACCTATTACCAAAAAGGACAACTGCTTCCCCAAAACTATTTTCCTATCTGTGAAGGTTCAGGTGACATGGAAGTAGCGTGGCTCGATATCCTTTCTGCAGACTTCACTTTCAAATTGTAAGACAACAGCATCTCTTTGCCCAGCCCCATAAACAGAGCAGCAGCAGCAGCTTGTCACCTTTGTCATACAGTTAATGGAACTGACTGGTTTCATACCTGATACAACATAAAACTCACCTCCTCCACTTATAAAGGCCCCTTGCAGGACAGTATGTGAAGAAACACGGAGATAATTTCCAGAGCAGCAGAACGAAATGGTTTGTCTCATTTTGAAAAATTTAAACACTACTGAAATATTTTGTACTTGAAATTTTAGATGAAAACCAGGAAATTCCAGAGACATCAAAATATGGTTTTTAGAGACATTTTGCTGTCTCAGCACATTTTATGTGTCTGATTTAAAAAAAAAAAAAAAAGGAAGGAAAGAAGTGGCGAGACTAGCTGAAGTAGAAATCAGACTTCACTATTATTTCAGTCCTCCTTAGTTGGTAGATAATGTTTCAGGCACAAAAATGATCTAGCAGTTAGCTAGATTGTAGTAGAAGCTTGAAAAATAAAAATTGTGATTGGTTGTCTCATATTTAGTAGTTATCTTTCCAAGCTACGATGTAGGACGCTATGGGGATGCTTACCCTTCTGCTATTTGTTCTGATCCTCTAGTTTTACTTAAGAGTACTTCATGGTATGTCGGATAAACAATGAAAAATTTTAGAGCATGAACTCATTTTTTGGGTCTATATATTAGTTGTTTAAATGCACAAGCTTTTCACTGGTACTCACTTTACTCTTTAAAAAGTTTGGTATGCAAAGATCTGCTAGTTGCATTCATGTGACTAAGGAAAATAAACAGATAGTCTCCTTTGTAGGACTTGTATGGCAGAGTAGATGCTCTGATCCAGGGAAACTCATAACTGCTTCTAAGTTGGTGGCAATGAATTTAGTCAGTACTTCAGTTAGCCTTCGTGTAGCCTTTGCTGGGTCGTACTCATGTCCTGAAGGATTGAGGTCCTGAAAGTCTATAACTGAAATATTTTATAATGGATTTGACTCTGCAGATGATCCACAGATTATATGGTAGCCTTTATATTATTAATGCTTTACTGGCATATCTATACATTTCCTGTTAAGATTTCAAGAGACTTCAAATTAGAAGTATCAGTTCACCCCGAGACTCACTGATCCAGTTATCTCAAGTGTGATAAAGCTAAGGCTATTTCCCAGTTATTCCTTACTTTCAGTTCAGTGAGGGCGTGTGGAGAAATACGACGTCATTCATTTAATGCTTTTAAAATCGAATATTAAGGGTAATGTGTGGCAATGATAGAAGCATAGTTATGCAAGTTGGTCAGAATGAGAACCTGGGAAGATTAAAGCCTGCTGTAAACATAAGCAAGACGGAGAAACATTACAGACATAAACATATGCTGCACGGAGAAGCATTACAGAAAAGTTAAATCTCTCTTACAAGCCTATAATATTTATTCACATGAAATAGGTGCTCTTTTATCATATAAGATTTTTAGCAATATCACATGTACAATTCAGAACTATTAAATCTAGTGTTTTCTCATTTGGAGTACTAGTATGTCAATCTGGTAGCTTAATCTTTTTATTTATTATATTTCACGATGCTATAGGATAACACATTTTAAATTTGAAATGTTATAAACCAGCAGATTATTAATTGTTTCAGAGGCTGTGAAGAAAAAAAAGTTGCTCCAAGTTATTTTTTGTGCCTAATTAGCAAAGTTCTGCACGGAAGACCTACGCGGTCTTTCTATAGGTGAAAGTAAACTGTGAAATTTTGAAAATACTTATGTAGGTTTCTTACACTTAATAGAAGCTTACTAGTGCTGTATTTACAGAGTATCTCAGTATTACTTGAAAGGTATTTTGTTACTATTATAAACTAAAAAGAAGTTGATGTGCAACTCAGTGCGTAATGATTATTGCTAATTCGTGTGCATTGATTTTTGCTGTTTACCATACTTTGCCAGTTTAAAACTTGAAGACAAGCCAGGTATTTTGGTGTGCCTGGGGATGAGTATGTACATGTATGTGTGTTTTCATACTGTTGATTTCTATTCTATATCTTTTACTGTTTTAGAGCTATTTCTGCTTGTTCCAGGGAATGTGGGATATTGTGTCCAAACATTATATGACTTTAGGAATGATACTATTCTCATAGTTACTTTATAATAAAATTCCTTTAAAATAACGCTTTTCTTATTAAAGTGACACCTTAAGCTTTAACATTGGGAAAAGGCACTGAATTTGCTGGCACTGAAACAGTATTAATGCATGTATGGTGTATTATAAGTGTATAGCTCTCTCGTAACCTGCATGGCATAATCCTTCAAAGTATTTAAACTAGTTCTTCTAAAAATGTTTTCATCTTGTTTAGATACCACTTAAAATGCTGTTTTTAAAGGCGTGCATCCAGAGACATGCACGGAATAATTTCAAAGAGTCAATGTTTCAGGGAATCTAAATTATTTTCAGAATTTCAGAAATTGAGAAGGGATAAGTGGAAGGAGAAAATGTTGGGCTGGTGCCAAGCGATAGCTCGTAACCCTCACAGACTTCCAAACAGCACAAGAACACCCGAGGTCTCAGGTGATGCTCCACATAACTCTGCTTTGGTGAGTGAAAAGTTGCATTTCATGATGGTGGCATGTGCGGATGAACTTCAGAGGTGTTGAAATAATTTAAAGAAAAGTTGTGTTTGTCTTTTATTGCATTGCCTCAGCATTTGAAACCCTTTGATGTTACAGCTATTTACCCTTTCCATTTGCTAGTTTTTCATCTTTTGTGTTATGCATGGTCCACTCTGACTTGCATGCTATGTCTATAAATCAGTATTGATGTTCTGTGAATAGTATATATGAGTTTATACTCTGCGTCTTTAAGTGGAAGATTGCCCTTTGTGTCCTACCAAAAGCAGGAAATGTCCTAATTTGTCATTACTTACGCTCTTTGTGATCTTAATCAAATGCAGTGGCATTTGGTCCCTGATGAATAAATACAGCTATACCTTTTCTAAAAGTACCATGTTTGCTCTTTGCTCCTGCCTGTAGTAGGAACAAAGTATAATGTATGTCTGCACTCATGCTAGAGAGAGATATTTTTAAATGATACGTATTTCATGTGATGCTACACTGGATGGTTGAGTTTCTGCATGCAAATCTACTAATAGAGGATGTTCAGACTATGTAAATTGTCAGTGGATTTATCATGAATTATATTAAGTTGAATAAGTGACTCGTTGACAAGAATTTTAATCCTGCAGTTTTGACTCATTTCAATAAATCCATTTACATCAGTAGAACTCCACAGGTGAGTAAGAACTGCTAATTGTAAGTAAAGGCTTCATAGTAAACCTTATGTAACAGCAAAAATTGTCTACGTATTTCACAGAATCACGGAGTCAGTATTTGTTTTTCTTGAACTGTCTTGAAACTTTCAGACCATACTGAAATTGATTATTTGAAGCATATTCAGTTAGATATGCCTGGTCCAAGTCTAAAATACTTGCACCATTTCCCGCTGCTAAGGAGCACTAACTATCAGCCTAGTTGCTGGCACTGTGTCTGAGTGATTTACTCAGCTGACAAGCATCTTTCATTGTATTTTCCTCCGTGCTTTTTTTGTGACTAGTAGTTACGGAGTTGTTATTTCAAAACTCTGTAACAGCTATTTAGAAGGTGTCTCTCTGCAACTTAATAGAGATTGGTACGTATATATCAGTTGTGCATTGTTAATTTTAGAATTGTATATATTTTAATCCTTTCAGGAATATTTAGAATTTTCAGTGACGTCCATGAGGCAGGCATGCCAAATCAAGCATTGCTAAAGACATCACAAAAAAACATTAGTAGAGGGCACAGGAAGAAATATTGCACAGATGCGATATCTAAACAGAAAAAAGAATAATTATTTAAAACCACTGATGAGTATGGTATTCTGAAGAGAATGAAGGGAGTTATAAATGGAGAGGTAGTAGTCTGTTTTGAAACTGGTTCAAATTCTTGTGAAAAAAAGCCCCTACTTAATGTGGTAGAATTCTCTAGTTCAGTGGTAGATTATACAGAATGTAAGTTTCTTCTGAGGAAGAGAAGGAAAAAAAATCAACAGTGAAAATTGCAGATTTTATACTTAATATTATTATTATTATTCATTATTATCATAATGATGAATCATTATTATTATAATTCATTTTCATTTGGAATTTTTTCCTTTCAGAGAAATAAAATGGAATTAAAAAGCAACAAGAGTCATGAGACAGAAAACTTCAAGTATATTATCCCCATATTTAATTAATGTTTAGGTACTATTAGTAATAATTATATTGTAGCTATTAAGGAACTTAGATAATGCAAATTTGTATTTTTTTGCTTTTGGCCTGACTTACTAGTCACTGACTTCACTATTGTGAAGGAAAGCATTCAAATCTTCCAAATGGGATTTAGTACTAATCAACTGGGATACGGTTCATAGCAGTTCAATCAGTAGGTGAGAAAAGTTAGCATGTTTTACCTTATTCCCATTACAACTGTTTCAAAAATAAGGTTGTATAAAAGCGTATAGATTGCTGCTCAGTTGCTGAAGTGCCTAAGAAAGCCAGTGTTTTGTACAGATGGGGAAGATACCACGTGTCCTGTAATGTTATGGTTAGCTATGGAATAAGCATCTTTACAACTGTAAATAAAACAGAAACATCTCTCTTCTTGAGGCCTGTAAAGCTTTTCTCTTCATTCTCTCCACTTCCTTCTCTCTCAACCATTATTCTTCCTATCCCTCACTCCTTTGTGAAATAGGTAAACTTTCAGCATAAGCTTTTGCTAGCAGCATCTTCCCAGTTTGTTTGCTGAAAATCCATATGTTCCTTGTGAAGATCTTTGAACCACGATTTTGTTTGAAATCAGTTGTGATTTTGCTTAGTACTTTAAGCACTGAAAAATTTTCCATCAGTCAGTAAAGATACGGACTTTGGTGCTGGGAAAAGCATCATGGAAAAGCAGAAAATAAAAAATATAATAAGTTTTTTTTTTGTAATTGTACCAGGCCACTGCTGATGCAGGATTCAGGTGCTTTCCTCTCCTTTAATGCTGACGTTTTAGTGCATTACACCTCCTCAGTGGACGTGATTCCGTTAGTGAAGGTTTACTGGGTCTGTCATGGGAGCAGTTCTTACAGTAGGAAGAAACAGCTCTTTGCTTCCATAGATGGTAGGTGACAAGTCTGGTTTTACTGGGAAGCAAACTGGAGTGTACGTTACTTCTTCTTTTCACCTCTGCCTTATGCTTTTGGTGTACGCTTCAGAGTCAGCAGAATATCTTCTGTATATCACATCTAAAAATTTGATGTTTCTGCCCTGAGAATCTAAGAGCAGATCTTTTCAGAAGCACAATAAAAGCTTTCTTGTCTAACTTCGCAGTTCCATGCCTTTTCCGGGGAATCTTGATGGGATAGGAAGGTCTGATTTAAGGCTGTCGCATCTTTGCCAAAATGCAGCTGTTTAACCTCACTTTCATTCTTACTGGGCTAATTGCTTTCTCAGGAACTAGAACTTTGTGATTCTTGGGTTTCCATCTAGTTTAACAAATCCTATTAATCTGTTCATCTCTCTGCTATCCTACTGCTGTGACGGCTATGGATTTTCTTGAATCCTGCAGGAGAATGAATATAGTAGTATAAAAGTATACCACATAGGTAGTGCAGATTGAATTGTTGATAGTGATAGTAACTACTTGGCGTAGACACCAGGTTCTTGCAGTTATACAGAAATGTAGCCATGTGCATATGGTTCCGAAGTGTGATTCTGAAGTATGGATTGTAGTAGCTGTTTAATAGTAAAAGTGGATTTAGCTTTCCCAGCTAGGTAATAAATTCACTCAATAGTGAAGCAGTCATTTCACAATGTCACTTTCCGAGAAGGGACTGATCCAGAAATTGCAAACACGGTTTATTAGTTTTTATAAAAAGAAATATTTTGTCATAGTAAAAGAAAGAAGTAGGCTCATGGAGTAGAAAACAGATTATGATGATTAACACATTGCTGACTCAAATAGACTATTTTTTCCTTAAGTAATTACATAAAGACACACTAAAGAGCTGTGCAGAAAAAAATAAAAAAGAAAATAGCCCATGAAAAAAATGAAGTAAATTAAAAGGGTTTAATAACATCTAATAAGATGATTTTATTGGAGGTCAGGCTGAATACTGTAGCTTCATCTAAACCAAATAAACTCCCAACTATTTCAGCAAAACTCAACTGACTATTCTTGGAAACGTTTTTACATTATTATTTTCAAGTTTGTCATAAAATTAGCCACAGACTTCATTCAGCTCATTCTAATTTCTTTGAACATTGGAGCCTCTGTGTTCAGTACTAGATGGCGTTCTACTTCAGGAGAGACTACTACTTTGGTTCTGAACAATCCTAAAAAAATTTTGGTACATTCTGTAATCAAGGGCAGCAAATTTCCCAAAGAATATTGTTCAGTATTGCAATATATTGGATTTCTGTTTCTGTATTTATAGTTTTAGATTCATATGCAGTAGACCCAGTATATTTTTCATTGTCAAAACAATTTCATATAGTCTGTCATCTTAATGTTGTGGGGCATAAAACTGAAATTGACTCCAGTGCTATCAAGTTCACTTTTCTACTGTTTGCAAGTGTCCTGTTGCCAGGTTCATTAACTTAAGTTTCCTCTTGAAACCACTTATGTTTTCTTTTCCCTACTATTACTAATGAAGAGCTGTTCCAAAGCCTTGCTTCTCTGATGGCTAGAAATTATTATCCATTTTTCAAGCTAAATTTATTACCAGTTTGTGCCTGTTCATCCCTGTATATATGGCTTTAAACTTTAAAAGTTCATCCTTTCTAATATTCATCATAAGATCTATTTTTAGAGCTGTAACTTGCAGCTTTACTGTTCTATAATAAAGAAAGTTTTTTTTGTCCCTTTGCAGTTTTTTTTAGGGTGAGTTAGCCAGAGGAACAGAACCATATCACTCAATGGCATAAGTGCTTAATATTTTTGCTAAGGAGGACAGGTGTAGCAGGTAGATAGCAATTTCTTTTCTCATGTTCTTATTCTATTATACATACACGTGTGCGTAACTCGTACCAATCAAGGCCTCCAATCCTATTTGACCGACACCAGCTGGCTAAAGTGTCTTAAGTAGATGTTCCACATTGGACTCAGCCTTCTGCATGGAGCTGGATGTCTGCGGATTTGTTCCCCTAAGGGGCTATCGTTATAACTATTTATTGCTTTCTAATTCAGATAGTTTGCATAAGCTGCTGATGGCCTCATTAGTCATGCCACCTCAGGCCAATCTCACTGATTTTTCCCTATATCTAAAGCCAGTTAGCAGCCATTATCTGGGTTACCCTCACCTTCTGGCTTCTCACCACAAATGTCCCATAAGTATGTAAAGTCTTGGTTTCTCTTTTGTGCATACCTGAACTATTAGAGCAGGGCAGATGTAGGCCAGAGCTTTTGGGTAAGCCTCCCCGTAACAACTATATGTGTTTGGTTTTTTTCCCCTTAGACATACCAGAATCATCTAATGAGTAGAGAGCTGGGCAGATGTAGTTAAAGTTTTACTTATCTGAGCAATGCTTTCGGTT